ATTAGGTTTCAGTCTTGATGTATGATAAAGATAAAATGTTGGGTTTAAGCTCCAATGCATTATATTGATAATTATAATAATGATGAGTCTGAAAGAAGACAATATAATTACCGTAGCCATGTGAATTGGCGTGATCGTGACAAGGAACGAAATAATAATCGTCATCATAGTAGTAATTATAAAAAGGAGGATAATAAGAGTTCTCAATATATCCTTCAAAAGGTGAAAGCAATGTTTACCATCAAATTGGTATGGAAAAATAAATAAAGTACGTCGCAACGATTATACTCTATTCCTTGAAGAGAATGTGACTTGTGATAAACATTTAGAATGCAGACTCATTCCTGAAGGTGAATGTAGCAATATGTGTATAATGAATAAAGACGTGTTGGATACATACCACAACTCACATTTAAGGGAGGTTTAAGAGGAAGAAAGATAATGAATATTATTGTGTGGTTACATGAATATGTCATTGGTCGCGTACATGTGGTACATCAAAAATATTTTGACATACCTTATAAAAGGTTACTAAAGGCAAAATTCAAGCAAGAAATAATTTTGCTTATGATGACTCTGAACATGACAATTTATTATAATATAAATTTCTTTGTGAAAGAGACATTCACTATATGAATGGTGTAACAAAAGATCTTGTAGTACAAAATCAATTAAGAGCTCCAGAAGAACTAATTTATTATTACTCGGATGGATAAAATTATTCATGACATTGATATTATAGTAAGTCTCAAAAGAAACTTTTTGAATTTCAAATGTATAAGCCAAAGTGGTTGGCATATTGAGACTATAAATGAAAGGAAGGTTGAATATATTCATATTACTATAATCATACCGGGTAAATATAAAAGGTTACCCGACTTTCCTTCTATTTGTACTACACAAGTATAAGTATGATGAGGCAATCACATGCCACAAGTAAACTAGAGGTTTACTGAAACAAATATTAGTTGGCATGACCGGTAGGCCATCCCGGTTCAATTATGATGCGCAAATGATTGAGAATTCACATTGGCATATATTGAAGAAATAGAAGATTCTTCAAAAAATCTCTTGTGCTACTTATTCTCATGATATACCAGCTAAGGTAGGGACTGAATCCCTTGATTTCTTGAATGAATAAAAGATGATATATATATGGGCCCAGTCACATGTCATGTGGACTATTTACTATTATATGATTTTAATAGATGCATCTATTGTATAGTCACATGTGCGTTTGTTATCAACTTGTAGTTTGGCTTTTACAAGGTTGCTTGCTCAAATTATTAGAGCACAATTCCAGAACGTAAATTATGATGATTTATCTTGATAATGCTGGTTTAAATCCAAGTTGGTTTAGCAGAAATTATATGCCTCCAACTATAGCTAACCAATTGGTTATGAGAATAAAACTCGCAAAAATAAATTTTGGTATGAGATGTATTATTTAATATATAGCAGCACTTGTACGCATCTAGCCAACAAATTATTGATAAATTCTCCCTATCATAATTGGTTCAGGGTCAGGAACCAAATAAACTTCATCTAGAAATATGAATGTGCTATATGATTTAATTGCTCTATCATAACGCATAAAGATGAGTCCCTAAACAATGATGGGGATATGTCTTGGTGATCCAACATTAGGGGGAGAAAATGGGCAGCTGAAAAAATATTACATGAAATGAATTATTATGAGTACATCTAGATCCTCACACAAGAAAACATGAACTTGAAGTTCAAGTGATAATTCATTTAAAAAATATTGCTAGGCACATTTGTTGACCCACAGCTAAATATCATATTTTAGCCGCTAGTGCTTCAAAAAAAGAGAGGATAAAGTTCATGAAGGACAGAGTCTATGGCACATATGAAGCATAATTGACTAATCGATTTCAAAAATAAAACTCCTTGAAGAAGGAGAGGAGCAAATGATCAAAATGGTCATAATAAGAAGGCAAGTGCTCTATAAGAACACCGCAACATAACACTTTATAAGACCTCATAAAAGAGGCTCAGGTACCTAAAAATAATGAGATCTCGATAAGTTATATCTTTATTGAGTGATGATAGAACCGATATAAAATGAACATCGACAATATTATTGATATAATATAGCGCTCAATATTACTAATATTGACGAGGATCTTGAGCACAAATCTATCATAGAATGTGGACAGACAAATGATTGGCCAAAATGAAAAATACGCAATCAAGATTGACTTTACCTGAAAAATGTGAAGCTGGACATATAGTCCCAACACCTGAAAGTATAAACCCCAGTGGAGGCAAACATATTTTCTTGTGCAAAAGTAAAATGAAAAATGAAATTGTAAGATATAAAGCACGACTTGTAGCACAAGGATTTTCGCAACAGCCTGACATTGATTATATGGAGAGATATTCTCTTATGGTGGATGCAATCACATTCAGATATCTTATCAGTCTAGCAATTCATAAAAAACTTGATATGCGTCTTATGGATGTTGTCACGGCCTATTTATATAGCTCACTGGACAACGAAATTTTGTTGAAAATCCCTGAAGGATTCAAAGTACCTGAAACATGCAAAGATTCCTAGGAAACTTATTCGATAAAGCTTCAGAAATCTTTATATGGATTGAAGAAATCAAGGCGCATGTGGTATAATCGCCTCAGTGAATACTTATTGAAAAAAGGACACAAGAATGACCCAATTTGTCCTTGTGTCTTTATAAAAAGATCTAGATCTGAATTTGTCATAATAGCTGTGTATGTTGATGACTTGAATATCATTGGAACTCCTGAAGAGTTTCCAAAGGCAGTAGAATGCTTGAAGAAAGAATTAGAAATGAAAGATCTTGGAAAGACAAAATGAAAGGAATGAAAGATCTTGGAATTATAATCAACGTATACCAAAAATATTTTGAAGCGCTTTTATATGGATAAAGCACATCCATTGAATACCCCGATGGTTGTGAGATCGCTTGATATAAATAAAGATCCATTTCGTCCTCATGAAAATAATGAAGAGCTTCTAGGTACTGAAACCATATCTTAGTGCAATTGGGGCATTAATGTACCTTGCTAATAATTCTAGACCAGATATAGCTTTTTCTGTAAGCTTGTTAGCAAGATTTAGTTCTTCCCCAACACAAAGACACTGAAATGGTATTAAGCATCTATTCAGATATCTGCGAGGGACCATTGATATGAGATTATTTTATTCAAATGAATCTAGGTCACAACTGATAGCTTATGCAGACGCAGGATATTTGTCTGGCCCACGTAAATGTCGATCTCAAATAGGCTATTTATTTACATGTGGAGGTACTGCCATATCATGTCATTCAACAAAACAAACTATGGTTGCTACTTCCTCAAATCATGCAGAAATAATAGCCATTCATGAAGCGAGTCGAGAATGCATTTAGTTGAGATCAATAACTCAACATATCCAGGAGCTATGTGGTCTTTCATGGGGAAAGAATATCCCAATAACATTATATGAAGACAATGTTGCATGTATAGCTCAACTACAAGGAGGATATATTAAAGGAGACAAAACAAAACATATTTCACCAAAATTCTTTTTCACGCATGATCTTCAAAAGAATGGTGAATTAGATGTTCAACAAATTCGTTCAAGTGATAATTTGACAGATTTGTTCACTAATGCATTGGCGACATCAATATTTGAGAAGTTAAGATACAAGATTGGAATGCGTCGTCTCCGAGATATCAAATAAGGTTTTTTACAGGGGAGAAATACGCGTTGTATTCTTTTTCCCTTAACCAAGGTTTTGTTCCATTTGGGTTTTTCTGGTAAGGTTTTTAATGAGACAACTCTTAATGCGTATTACAAGATATGTGTACTCTTTTTCCTTCATTAAGATTTTTTCCACTGGGTTTTTCTTAGTAAGGTTTTAATGAGACACATTATTTGTTAGTGGACATCCAAGGAGGAGTGTTATAAATCCTGCAAATGGATCCATCCACTTGCAATGATGGATGTCTCCCATAACAGGTTTTGGATTGGTTATGTATCCATAACAGGTTTTAAATTGGTTATGTATCCAAAACAGGTTTTAGATTGGTTATGTATTCATGATAGGTTTTGGATTGGTTATGTATCCAAAACAGGTTTTAGATTGGTTATGTATTCATGATAGGTTTTGGATTGGTTTTGTAACAACGAAATGTTTTTATAAATAGGTTCACTGATGAACTTATTCCATACTCTGAAACGAAGAAATAAATCATTTCTTCTAGTGTTGTCATTCTCTTCTATTATTAGTCCTAGTTAATTACATAGTTCTTGCTATATTGCGTTTATTTTATTACAAGAACCCATACGTTAGAACAATATTCCTTTATAATTGCCTCACCTAGATATCCACACTTCTATTATAATCTTTTCATTTTAATTTATGTGATTTATTTTGCTTATTGACATTTAAATTATGTGAATTTTGATTAATATTGGTATAAAAATATTATATCTTACAAATTTTTCTGTATAAGTTTTAATTTTAATTTTTTTAAGTTGATCTAATTCAATCAAACCAAACAATTAATTAAATTAGCTATCAACTCATACTATTGAAAATCTCACAACTCTTCGGTGGGCGTTTGGATATAAGAATTGTGAAATAGATTTTTTTTTTCAAGTGAAAACGATATTTGAAAATTAGAGTTGTTTGGACATGAATATAATTTAAAGTTGCTTTTTGAGAATTTTTATGAGTGATTGGAAGTAAAATTTTTGAAACATAATTTTTTGGAGTTTTTAATTTTTTTTAAAAAGTCCGAAATTTTATTTCAAATGAAATTTAATTTTTTTTTATAGCTAATTACTGATTCTGGAAAAAGTGTATTTTAAAAAAAAAATGAAATGTTTTTATGGCCAAACGGCCCTTAGTTTACCAAAGTGAAAAAAAAAAAAAAAAAAAGCAAAGTAGGAAAGAAAACAAAAGCCATCTGACACTACACGCCTACCTTCTTCTGACTCTGCCCTTTTTTCACTTCCAATACTAAACGCGCATTTGTTCCTGCCGTCCTTCTTTCTAGCTTTCCAGCTACCCATTTTCTCTTTCTACTTGCCCATTTTCTTTCTCTGGAAACTTTCCAAGAAAGCTCTGAGAAAATCTTGTCTTAATATATCAAGAGTTCACAATCTTGTCTGTGTATTTTGGGATGGGTGTATCAAAGAGCAACAAGCAGCATCAATGTTACATTGCAGTGCCATCTCAGATAATTAATTCACTTCCTTCTTCAGCTCTTCAAACTCTACTAGAAGAAGCTCCCAAGAAAAAGACAAAGACTAGTGATCCTTCCAAGTTGAAGCTTTTGCTCACTAATCCAAGATTCTGGATTTTCTTGCTTTTTCTCTTTGCTTTTGCTGGGATATTGTTAAATATGTGGCTCAACTTTGATCCTTTCTCACAATACCCATGTTCCATTTCTCAAGAAAAGGGTCAAATCTCTGCTGCCCCTCAGCTCAGTATTGCTGCTGTGAATGAAAAAAGTATAGTGAATGAAAAGAGTAGTGAGTTCTGGAAGCAACCTGATGGGTTGGGTTACAGGCCTTGTTTGGATTTTAGTGCAGAGTACAGAAAGGTAAGCGTGGAGATTTTGAAGGATAGGAATAAGTATCTAATGGTAGTAGTTTCTGGGGGAATGAATCAGCAGAGAAATCAGATTGTTGATGCTGTTGTCATTGCAAGAATTCTTGGTGCTGCTTTAGTTGTTCCCATTTTCCAAGTCAATCCTATTTGGGGTGATGAAAGGTTTCTTCTTTCAACTAATTTCTGTGTATTCTTCCAGAAATCGATTTTGTTTTTTTCTAAATTTCTTAATGTATGGTCTGTTTTTGCTTGTTTTTTTTTTGTGTGGTTGCAGTGAGTTTTCTGATATTTTTGACATGGATCATTTCAAAAAAGTTTTGGCAAATGACGTGCGAATAGTTTCATCGCTTCCGTCTATACATGTTATGACAAGGCCAGTGGAGGAGAAACACACTCCTCTCCATGCTTCCCCTCAATGGATACGCTCACATTATACCAGAAAGGTGAGAAAAAGTTGATGGTGGTACGGAAAGATTTTTCTCTTTTTATTTTTGTTGGTATCTTAGCTCTGTTCAGTGCATGATCAATGGTTTTTAGTAAGTCCATGTTGCTATATGTTAGCAATAATTGGAGAGTGCTTTAAGCTTTGGTGTATTCCAAAGTTTGATCTTTAACAGTCATTCAACTTGTACTTTTTTAGTTGGCTGTGCAAAGTCTTAGAATTAACTCTACGACAGCTACCAACAAGGGTTGCGGTGGACTAGTAAGTATTCCTTCATCCTTAACTAGAGGTCTCGGGTTCGTGCCCTGGGTATGGAGTCGCCACTTTCGGGAGCACTTTAATCCCTATGGGACTTCCCGGCGCGAATCCAGATTTAGTCAGGTCCCAATGCGGGTACGAGACACTAGGTAGAAAACCAAAAAAAACTCTACGATAGCTAGAGACAAGTCTTTATACTCTTGCACCGATCATAAATGCCTGGAAAATTAAGATATAAATACTACTTCAAATCTTAGGCTAGTTAAGAAGGGACTGGTTTTCCATTCTTGTGTTGTATTCTGAGGTAAGGTCTAGCCGTCTAGTCCCCTGCTGTTCTCTTTTGCTTAATACAACACCTACCCTAACACCACAGGTTAGTATTTAACCAAAAAGAAGAATCTTAGGCTAGTTGAAAAGGATATTTCATTGGTGTATAACTTCATTCATTAGTTTGGTTTGTCTAACTGAAATATCTAGTGAAAGGTGATTGTAAACAAGTTGTCTATTGTTTCTAGAAGATGCCGAAGGTTCTTGTACTTACAGTTTTGTTTGATCTTGCTGCAGCTTAGAAGGGATGGAGTTCTTCTTTTGCGAGGTCTTGACTCAAGGCTATCTAAGGATCTACCATCCGATCTTCAGAAACTTCGTGGCAAGGTAAACTAAAATTTCATTATTCTATGGTTAAATGTGTGTTATTCTAGTGTATTATGGGACACAAGCTTTCTGAAAGTTTTGTGAAACTTGCTCCTTAACTAGTTTATATAGGAGTAACAAGCAAATGGCGATTTATTCTGGATGCTCCACCTAGCTTTTTCTGTGGCAATAATTCTAAAAATGTGGCACCTTCTAATTTAATCCTCTGTGAACTTGTAGGTAGCTTTTCATGCTTTGAGGTTTAACCCATCGATCTTAGAGCTTGGTAACAAACTTACAGAGAGGATGAGGAGCAAGGGACCATATCTTGCTCTTCATTTGCGAATGGAGAAGGACGTGTGGGTGAGGACTGGATGTCTTCCTGGTTTAAGTCACGAGTATGATGAAATGATAAACAATGAGCGGAAGCACAGACCTGACCTCTTAACTTCAAGGTCAAACATGACCTACCATGACAGGAAGCTTGCTGGTCTCTGCCCCTTGAACGCATTGGAAGTTGCAAGGTAAGTGTCAAACTTCATGAGAAAGTGTTCTGTTGAAGCACTTTGAAAATGTTTCTGATATTAACAAATTTGCAATCTCTTGTTTAGGTTGATCAAGGCTCTGGGAGCTCCAAAGGGTGCTAGAATATATTGGGCTGGTGGAATTCCGTTGGGTGGGAAAGAAGCCCTGCAGCCATTGACCAAGGAATTTCCACATTTCTATAACAAAGAGGATCTTGCTTTGACTGGGGAGCTTGAACCATTTGCAAAGAAAGCATCACTTATGGCTGCTATTGACTACATAGTGTCGGAGAACAGCGACGTTTTCATGCCATCTCATGGTGGAAACATGGGCCATGCCATTCAGGTACTGCCTCCAGTCTATATGTTTCTTGCTATTAGTTCAGAACATTAGTCCCGTGTTATTATGAGCTTCCTTTATTATCGTTGATTGTGGTTGTTTTTTGCAACAGGGACACAGGGCCTACGCAGGGCACAAAAAGACTATCACTCCTAACAAGAGACAGATGCTCCCACATTTTCTTAACTCATCTCTCTCTGAGACAGAGTTCAACAGAATTATACTGGATTTGCACAAAGATTCGTTAGGTCAGCCGGAACTCAGGAAGACAGGAAGGGATGTTACAAAGTACCCTGTCCCAGAATGCATGTGCAACACTACTACTATCCATTCCTCCGTGTAAACTCCTTTCGTACTAACCAGACAATTTAGCGATGATATAAGAATCGTTGACAATGTGAATCAGGAGCATCACTGCATCTGTGGGATTAGCCCTCCCTTAAGATATAGTCTCTTACATTCCACAAAGAGGGCTTTCTCAGGTGCAACACTGTTCGGAAGGAGGGCCTAAGGCAGAGGTAGTAACAATTAGATGCGGATGTAGAAGGTTACTCTGATTCAAAAGCAACAACACATACAGCTTCATATTCTTTCTTGCTAATTATTTTTTGCACGTCATATTCTTTTGAAGTTGGGGAGCTAGGCAAAGATGAATTATTAGTTTAGCGAAAGAACATGTCATTTTATTCAATTCATTCTTTACACATCTATGTAATCCACCAGTCTATGTATATGCAATATATGTACAAAATCGTACAAATTTTGGAGGTACTTGTACATTTATTTTTTGCGGAAGACAAATCGAAAACCTTTTTATGATAAATAATCAAACTTTAATAATTGACTCCATGCAGTATGTCTTAAGTTATATACATCTTGTTAGTTAGTCCGAAAAGCTAACAGGTGTGCATCCTTGTGTATATATTGCAGATGCACTATCATCAAAACACCGGTAGTTTTCCAGCTTGTCCATAGCATACAAGCAGGTATTGTGTTCTATGTTTCCTATCTTCCTTCCTAGACAGCTGCTGGTTAGATCACCAGGCAAACATAGATAGGAAGTTGAGTAGCTATGGGACAGTTCAAAAAGAAAAATGATGTCTATTGAGTTACCGGAGCAAAGGTAACGTCTATTGCATAAGGTGTAACCTCTTTGTCATATAACCATTGTGCAATGCTTTTCAAACAAAACCGATGAATTTGAGTGGAGCCTTAAATTTCCATGTAAGTTCCATTGCCAGAGGGCGCTTGAGTACAGGAGCTGACACAACAGTTGCCAATATTGTCTTCTTTTCCAGATCATTCTGTCAGCTTCGGTTGTTGGAGGAGGAATGCATACAATTAATTAGCAACATGTTTTTTCATCAGCAATGCACAAAACATGTCTGATCCAAACTTTTATATTTGGGTCAGAAGCCAAAACCATATGGTACTTTGAATATTTCTTTTCTCATACCTGCATTTTCATCATCCATTTAAATTTCATCTTCTAGTGAGCAAAAAGGCATGGCCATCCTGTGAACCATGTTTATACTATTCTCTGCATTATTTTTATTCTGCCTGTTCTAGGCTACAGTCGTAGTTATGCTTCTAAAGCTACCTATTATAAGACCTCTGACGGCAAAGGAACAGCAAGCAGTGAAGCAGGTCACCACTTTGCCTTTTTTTTTTCCACTAACCTGCTTGTGAAATAATTTCATATGTAATCCTTAAGGAAATTCAAATTACATCAATTATAAATCTAAAGTTGTTCGTAAAATCATCTGCTTTAACCTTTGAACTTGCAAAATTTGATCAGCTAGAGCTTGCGGTTATGCAGAGTATGGCAGATATTTCAATGACAGGCTGGTAGACAGGATTTTTCCTAAGCAGCGTCAATATTTGAAGAAATTAAATGAATAAATTATAAATCACTACAATGACAAGCGATGTCATTTTTTTAATATTTTATAACCAATATTTTCATTTTGTTTATTATCTATATATACATATTATCACGTGACACGCTCAGGACAAGGTGCATCCGCCGCATCCTGGAAGCTTTATAAAAATGGAGTTGGTTGTGGTGTATGCTACCAGGTACTTCATCTTGTTTTTTAAGGAAACGGCCAAGATAAATACTCGCATGTTACTTATGCTATTAAAGTCTGTCTATGTGTGTTTCAGAAAGTATATCTAGTATATCTGATTCTAAGTTCGAATAAAGGAAAAAGATTGTCGCAATAATAATAATATTGTTATGAAATAAAGACTATAAAGTAAAGACAAGTATAGAGAGAAACTGATATATTATTCGAATTCAAACTGATGTACATAATGAACTGAAATCTCTTCTATTTATAGAAGAAAAGAAGCTGCTGTGTAAGCTGCTACTACGCTGCTACTGCAAGTTGCTGTGTAAGCTGCTACTGCAAGCTGCTGTGTAAGCTGCTACTATACCAGATATGGATAATCTTCTACTGAGAGCAATGCTTATCCATAACGGAGTACTGAATGAATAAGCTTATTATACCCAGTATGGATAATCTTCTACCTAGGGTAATGTTTATCCATAACTGGGTACCGAAGTGATAAGCTTCTTCAGGAAGCTTATTTTCAATAGAGTACTAAATAGATAAACATATTTACGGTGGAGTCTCATATGGATAAGCTTCTTCAGGAAGATTATTTACAACGAAGTACTAAATGAACATCCATAATATAATATATTTATAACA